TGAATTCATCAAAGTACTACATAATAATATAACATAATATGTTTAAGTTAAAACTATTTAATTATATGAGAAATATGTGTTAAATATTAAAAGCGCTCCTAAGTTAGAAATCCATACCTTAGATGGAATCTCTATTCGATCCAAAAGAAGGATTTCTCTCATAAACTTCAACATGTAAAAATCGCAATCTACTTCATTACGCTGCTGAAGACACTACACATGAAAAGAAAATATGAATAAGGCCTAAGTTTTATCAAGTATCATCACTATTAGTATAATAACAATTGTGATAATTAATTAATATACCTCTTTGTGCTCGAAAAACTTGTATAATGCTAATAAAACATAAACGCATATTTATAACAATTCACATAAATAAATAAATAAATAAATATACACACGAATATTTAGAACAATCTCACTTATGTATCAACCATATTCTTCATATCTTGGTATGTACTTGGATCATTGCGTAAAGAATCCAGATAATATACAACTTCTCTGATAGGATTAATCGTGACCAACAACCAATATCCACTGTAAGATTAAACAAATGTGAGATGAAAACTTTCTACACAACGTCAAAATATGAAAAATTATAATAGATAAATTTAGAATGAAAATCTAACCCATTGCCGATATTAAGTGGTAAAAAGAACAACTTTTCGGTATCTTTGTCGGCCATAAAGCGCTCGAGTACATACGCCATGACTTCATCTGGTTTATGCATGATTAACCCTAAGTTGGTATTGTAAGGAGATAAGAAAGCGAATCTTTGCTCCAATCCACTCGGGCGCATCAATTTTTCATATAAAAACCTTAAATAAAAGACCTCATTAACATTTGAAATGAGTAAATGAATTGATCAATTAATTAGACAAAGTAGATCGAATATACCTTATGTATGTATTAACAACACCAAGGCCTAATTGTGTATGTTTTAAAACTTGATCAAAATCCTTCGTACCAATTGTGTCGGAATATTCAAAACCAAAAATACCAAACTCCATAGGTAGAAGACGAGTATTGTCTTCCTGAATATCAGACATTTCTAAAAATGTCCCAAGGCACGACCTAAACTTGGAAGTAGGTTTTTTTTAGCCGCGGTTTTCGTAGCAACAACCTTTTTTTGTGTGGAAATGTTGCTAATTTCAGGATTCTTACCCCTACCAACATCTTCATTCTCTTTAGCATGAATCTAAAGATCATATAATTAGTTATGTGAAGTATAAGATCACGAATTAACATTTTTCATGCATAGATATCATATAATTGTGATGTACCTCTTTTATTGATGCAACTGACTCGGTTTTCCGCAGAATCCCCTTGTCTTTTGCTTTGGATTTTATTGGAGTCTAATTAACATAACCATGTAAAAACAAATGTACGTAAAATGCGCGTAAAAACTTTGAATACTCAAAGGTTCATATATATGGTTTTAAGCATACCTCATCATCTACACTAATGAGGCTTGACGGCCATGCAACAAACGAACCTATTGCATCTCCCACCAGTGTGGCATCCGAAATATCGTCAGGATATGCTAATAACGCATCCTTGTCCAAAGCAATGTCAACCGATACTTTCAAACAACCAGTAAGGAGCGGTTTGGTGTGAAGTAATTCTCCCAAAGTGTTATGCACTTTTCCATTTCCAACTGTTGTACTCCAAAATTTTCCCTCTCATTTATCAAATATTTTCTCACAAGGATCTCTCTTGGTTCAAGACTGCACTAGGATTGATCAGCTCAAGACACCTCCTTAAGCACTGATGACCAAAATTAGGGTTTGAGATTGCACAAGGATAATTGAACTTTCAATGCTTCAAATTACTTTCATGGATCATTATGGACCCCCAAGATTTCTCATGTCAAGTTTCAAGCCTTGGATCACACTGTTGCTCAGTCAATTGAGCAGTTGACCTAAAAATCAGTTGTATTGGGAAAAAAGTCAACTATGGCCAATTTACAGTAAAATTTCATAATTTTTGATCCACATCAACATTATAAACTCATATGTATCATTTTATCAAGTTTGAACCACATTTCCCCAAGAAATTTGATCAAATCATCAAAAGGGCAAAATGGTCAAAATTAGGGTTTTGATTGAGAAAGGGCAATTTCTGATTTTTAACCTAGAAAATGGTCAATTGGTTTTAAGCATGATTTCAAGAGTTCAATTGCATCATTTTAACCTAATGGCATGACCTAAAACATTGCTCAAGATCAATTGGACTGATAGTGAATTTTCAGTCAACTGATCAAAAAATCAACTGTACACTGAAAAGTCAAACTTTGACTTTTTGGTCAAAATTCAATGTCAAAGATCATAATTCATCAAAACATGTCAAAACATGAAACTTATTCATCAAGAAACCAAAAAGTCAAGATTTCATTTTGAAAAGTCAAAGTTTTCTAACTTAGAAATTTTTCTAAGTGTTTAAACTTCATGTTTTTTCTTAACTTTGGGCCAATTTTTCACCATGATGCAAGAGGATTCAGAAGAAACTTTCAACATGAAAGTTGTAGATATCTATGATATCTATAACACTTATTTACACAACTTCTCCTAAAAATTCTTGGATCTTAAGTTATTAATTCATAAAGTTATGGTCTTGAAATTGGACACACAGTGAAATTTTGCCCTAGTTTTGGTCAGGATTTTGACCTAACTTCTTGGCACTTTTTCATATAGTTCCAAGGGGAATTTTCAAAAGTTATTCAAATAGGGGTTGTATATCATATTACAAGCTTTCCAAAATGTCCAATAACTCCTTGAGATCATTCTTGAGTATGGAGAATCGAAGAGATGAAGTTAGGGTTTTCACACTTGTATTACAAGTCATTTTGTGATGAACAAGAATTCAATTTCAAACCTATGTTGCACAATCTTGTTTTGCAGGCCTCTAAACCTCAAGATCTATCCATAATCAGAAGATTACACTTGCTTTTGAGCTATTATCCACTTGATTCAAGCTTTGTCCAAGTAAATTTTCCATTAATGGAACAAAATTCACACTTCCATTTTGGAAAAGTGACTTTAATCACAAAGTCAACTTGTATGGAGCTTTGCACCTGTTATTTCTGCACAAGCATGCTCTATAAACTCAGAACAAACATTTTTAAAGTTACAATCCACCCTACAAGACATATACCTTGCATTGAAACCATGTTTTTCAAGTTAACTTTAAAAACTAGTCAAAAACTCATAACTTGTGATCTTTGTTTTCTGACCTCCTCAAGTCCTCTAACCTTTTCCATATAATGATACAAGTGTATTTCAAGCTAAGACACGATTGAACAAGTCCTCAAACTCCCCAAAATCATAAATTGCCATACAAGTAGAAAAACTTGTCATTTCTGATTTTTGAATCCAACCTCCAAATCCCCTCGTGCGTTTCTTGGCCAAACCATCCATAAAGCTTCTAATACACATACAGAAACTATCCCAACCCCTGTTTTCAAACTGTAATACCATTTACACCATTCTCCATTTTCAAAAATAGGACATTGCACATTGACTTCTTCAGCTTGATTCAAGAACTCTCAGCACAAAGTAAGTTTTGCAATAGCTTCTTGGAGGTGCAAGGAAGCTCACCCAATCATCAAAACACTTTGAAAGTAGCTCTAACTCCAAACACGATCTCCAGCTGCAAGGTGAATTTTATGACTTTTCATCTCATTATTTAGGCATTGTTAGGTCTTTATTTGTGAAGATAAAATGTAGATAACTTTGCCACGAAACTATACATATCCATAGTTTGCATTTATATGGCCCGAGCTTAGAGAATTTTAGAGTTGAAGTTTTCTAAAATTTTTAGGTTTTGAATTAGGGACAGAGAAATTCTCTTTCATTTTTTATTGTTAGCTTAAGTTATTTACATGGTCCTTTGGATGGAGGTTGAAGATGAAGTCATTTTCAAGACTGGGTTGATGTTATGTATTTGTTGTTTTGCTTATATTAACGGATGTATATCCACCCTAGTGGTAAAGCGCACACCTGCTAACCTTTGGGACCTGGGTTCGAGCCCCAGTGGTACCCTTTTGCTTGATTTTCTCACATTTTCCCATATTTTTGTCATTTGTTTGGAGCGTTGGGCTCCTCTTGTTGGGCCCAGTATTTTTTGCTTATTTTTGCCTCCCCTGCTGACTATTCACACCCCTGGCCCATTTTATTTCTTTTTTTTTCTTTTCATTTTTCATTTATTTGTTTTCTTAAATATTTTATTTAATATTAAAAAATCAGAAAATATTATAAAAATATTAGATTTATATTTTGATATAGTTTATTTATTTTTTACAATAAAAATTACTTTTATTTTAATCACATTTTATTTATCTTACTAATTAATTTACAAAATTAATTAGAAACTAGTTTTTTTTAGTTATTTTCTTTTATACAATTAAAATATATTATTTTAAAATATAAAATAATTTAAATATTTATTTTGCTGTTGTTTTATATAATTGAGATTAGATTATCAATTGTACAATTTATTATAAGTACCGTTCAATACTTAAAAATTTGTGCATATTATTAACGTATTTTTATAATTATGTAAATGTTAATAAATTGAAGAATGAATTCAAACTTGAGGAACAATAATTTAATAGAGACATGTAATTGTGCAACAAATTCATTCTAGTTATATAGAATATTGAGAATGCACTATTATGTGTTGAAGTTCCCCTTATCATCGTGTCATCCAACAATTCATATTGTATTTGACATAAAAAAAAATAAAGCACTTTTTTCTTGGAACAAAAACAAATTACTTTACCAAACCAAAAACAAAAAAATGAAAGAAGAAAAAACACACGAAACGTTTCGGTTTGCCTCCTCCGTTAATGTGTAGTGCATTATGATCTTGATATGGTGGTTGAGTCTCTATGATATCCTTGTGAAGGAGTAAACCAAGCAAGTGTTATCTTTGGGAGAGGGAAGAAGAACCCTAGCTCTATATTTCCACTTGCAAAGATTTGTGGACTTGATCAACACCATATGGCAAATACAACAACAAGCTTACATCTACTCTCTCTGAATCAAGCAAGGTAAACAATGTCATCTCTTTCTGAAAAATCAAATTTTTTTCCGTTTTGGGGAACCAAGCAAGGTAAACAATGTCATCTCTTTCTGAAAAATCAAATTTTTTTCCGTTTTGGGTAATGATAAAAAATAGATTTTGGGTCTGTCAGAGCACCGTGTGACCACCCCAGTTGGGGGAACCAACCAGGAACGATCATCCAAAGCTAAGATGATGACCACAGCATGCAGTTCATCTTGGCCGTTAATCACGCTCTGATCACACGGTCTTGCTTCATCCACCAGACTTATGTTCCTGTCTCCTTTGAAATCAAGGACACAGTAGTACGAGCCTATAGAACAGATCCTGTTCAAGTAAGGTCGTGCTATTTCATGCTTAGGTTCAAGTATATAAGTCTTGAATATTTTCTACACATCAACAATGTGGGAGTAATGTAATAGTTTTTGTTGAAACTCTACTTTTATTTAACAACATTTTTTCAGCTCAGAACTCAGTTCTGCCTTGGTTAAATTAACTGATGGTGCATATCTAAACAATGATGATTTTTACACTGATTTGCGTTCACTTTCAATAGAGCTGTGAATAGCTTGTTAGTGAGCTAGTTGTCAACTACGTACTGACCACATCACACTTTATTTTTTAGGCACACAAGCCTTAGCAGAATATCGATGAGAGTCTCATGTACGCTGCTAACTAGAGTTTGGTTAATGCGCTGCTTAAGGAAAAAAAAACATTGGTGGAGTTCTTCAAGCATGTTCAGCAACACATGGGTGATAATGAAGATGAGAGATATGGAGATTCATTTTGTTAGTTTCTTTGGGAAAATCGGGTTGCTGTCAAAGATAAAATGGTCATTACCATTTCCTATTCCTAGTGAGAATTGATTACTTTATATTTTTTATGTATCTGTATGTTTGTGCAAATGTGTTAGTCTTGAGATGATTGCATAACTTTATAGACCATTGTTGGTTTGATTTATAGATGATAATGATTTCTTATCTGATTGCTACTTGCTCTGTTCATTTCCCATGCTAACAATTAACAGGACAAAAGCATGGGAGGTATAATTTCGCATGCTGCTGAAATTTGTGGCTTATAGCTTTGATATTTTATCCTTAACTTTTTTCAGTTTCCTTGTCATTTTAGAAATGAGAAAATAAGAGTGAAAGTTTGCCGGGCTTTGAAAATACCAATCAAATCTCTAAGTAGACTTGGCTTTACACAAATAGAATAATCACAACTTCTTGACTCTCATTAGCACCCTACGGTTAAGTCTCTTTGTCTTCCACATGATTCTTTTGTATGCTATAAGCCATGGTAGATTTTGATCAGGAATGGCAAGGTGTGTAAATACTTACTTAAATAAAAGATGGAATAGATTGTTTAGCTCAATACAGCTCCTCTGTTGCAAGGTGAGTTCTTATTCATGTGCTATATTTGTGTTGAAATTCAATTATCGCTAGATTGGGATACTTTAGTTATTAAAATTTGTGAAGCCATGGTCTTTGTGCTGATTGTTGTCAGTAGGACAAAATATCTTTTCAAGTCGATGTTTGTACGAATGTTGTAGGACACTATATGGTATAAACATGTTAGATTAGCTTTGGGTTAGGACTTATACAGTCATAAGCTTATCCTGGACTCGTCCTTCACAATTAGCGAACTATTCTTTCGTCTTTTACTAAAGAATACCATGTCAACGTCACAATTAGCGGCAGCCGCTAGTATTTGGAAGAGGGCTCTGCTATTTTAGTTCAAGTTTATTATCTCTATATTCTTAATATTTTTGACTATTCTGAATTGAAATTTGTAATGAAAACTGATTCATTGTCACTTTAGAAGAAGTGAGAACACAAGATTGAGAACTTTTATATGATGGCTTTTGAAGATCATTTAGCAGATGCTGCAACGTTAGACAAAAAATCGAATAATAGAAGAGACACCTTTGATATTTCCCCTTAATATAACCAGTAAAGTTGTTGCTTTTTTTATACTCCAAGTGAAATCGAGTGATTGGATAAAACGTTGGATAAGAATGGTAAGATTTGATCTCGGTTAATTTCACTATGAGAACATAGTTATACAGATTAATAACGGTTCTAAAAAACATATAGAGGGAGGGAAAATGAGGAGATCATGGAACAAAGATTTCATATGTTCACTTGAGAGATTTCACAACCGCAACATGGTTATAAATACTTTATCAATTTGATCCTAATGGAGGTGGCAAATGTGAGTTGGTGTATTAACGATTGATCCACTAAGTGAATATAGACTGTGTTCATAAAACTCCAGCACTGCAATGATCTTTTATTATATTACTCTTTAGGATGAATCAATACTACAATGTTATCTAAGTCCCGCATCCGAATTGTTAGAGTGAATAGTACGGAAAGTGAGGTATAAAAGAGAAGTGAGTGATACATTGCTACATACTTACCTGGATGGGGTCAATGGATGATCATGTAGGTCCATGGCCTAGGCAAGCGATCTCCATTGCACTTAGGAGAGGTGCTAGCCTAAGGTCTACCCAAGTGGTGGAACCTACATCATAATTTGTTGCTGTGGGGGCCTGCGTTCGCGCGGCCCCCTCTCAATCTAAGTTATTAATAATTGGATCTTGTTATTTAAAGACTATTTTAGACATGTTTAATACACTGTGTATGTATGTATGGGCGATCAAGAAGGCTCATTGCCTGGGCCGAGTGGTTTTTAGAGACAAGAACCTTTTCACTTAAGGATAAAAATGACTCCTTCCCACAGAAGAAGCTGTTGCTTTTTATGTCTTATGTTTGGCAGTAACTCAGTATGTATGCTTACACATTTTGGTGAAAGTGTATATCTTGTTTCATTTGTGTTTTTGAATGAAATATGTTAATCTAACTGTACAGTATTGTTTTGTATGCTATAGCCATGGCATGGTAGATTATGATCATGAAAATGGTGAGGTCAGTTATTATTCATTGTTGTTTCATGTGCTATATTTGCATTGTAATTCAATTGTCGATAGACTGGGATATGTTAGTAATTGAATTTCTTTAAACTGTGTACTGCTTCACTAGCCAAGAACAATTTGAAAAGTTACTGCTTCACATGAACATTTCACTAGACAAGAACAATCACAAAAAGGGACACAACACATACATTTCTGTAAAATAGTAAGTAACCGATAAATTTTTTTGAAGCTTTGTCAAATACATTTCTGTAAAATAGTTAGTAACCGATAAATTATTTTAAAGCTTTGCCTAATCTTTCTGCTATTCAGTAATGCGAACATAGTCTCCTTGCGAGAATTGCGTCTCAAGATCCTTGCAAGCCGCTGCAGCAATATCCATATAGATCACACGCTTCACGATAAGATAGAGAGACTGAATTTTCGATCCAGGTATGCACTAACGACACAAATTAGTCCAAAAACCTAATTTTGTTCTTCATGATTATAGTCCAAAAACCTAATTTAATTCTTCATGATTATCACACGCCTCATGAATGCGACCAGGAATGGTATTTCTTACCATTGAGAAGACAAGTGACAAGAGGGGCTGAAGTACTTATAACAGGATGCTTGTATTATGGATTTCTTGTAGGATCAGTATGTTGAATATTTTGATTTCTGGCATTAACAAGCGCAGCTCCTGGAGGCATGGTGAAGAATGAGTAGCTCAGTGCTCTTCTGAGCTCTTATACCATATTAGTGAATGAAACTGAACCATAGAGAGGATCAAATAAAAAAGAATGCGAGAGAGAAATTGACATTGAAGATCGGATTATGTATTCTAATTTTCAGAATGCATATTACAACTGAAGAAAGTGTTTGTCTACAAGCTTGTTCTTAACTAACTCGTGGAACTGAATTCTTATACTTACATATAAAATGCTACTGAGCTATATCTCTGAGACTAATACATTTCACTCAAATTAATTGGTGTATCTTAGAATTATCAGAATCAGATGCATTTTTGTGGACTTTTACTCTGTATCAACCTGAAGTACTATAGTTATTATTTTCGAATTTACGCTTAATATCTACTTTGTTCTATATAATAAATGAACGTTGGAGCAGCTTCTTGATATCTTTTTCTCATTTGAGGGAGGCAAGCTTCTGGAGGAGTATAACTACCTCTTCCCCCTTCTGAATCAGGGGAAGGAATCATGTACTTGTGATGTTGTTGGCGGATCGATGACTTGTTGCCGGCTGGATTGGTACTGGCTCAGGGATGGAGGCTTGGTTCTTTCGCGACGTTGCTTCTTGTACTTCTTTCTGCCAATGCCTGAGAATTTTGTTGCTGCACCATGTTTTAGAAGTTATTCAGCATGTCATTGACTCCTTGCACGCAAATATTAGCCTGCACCAGTTGAAAATCAGGAAGCATGTCTTGCCCCGGCATCACAAGCAGTAGTGGAGGTCCGAGCCAAGGTTCTCCCTAGTGGAATTGTGGACCAGAGCCGAGGAATGGAAGAGGTTTAAATGCTCCATGTCCCGCCCCCGTTTGTACATGATCTTCATGTGAAGAAGAAACAAATGGAGAAGCTACCAGGACTTCATCATTTTTCCCTTAAGGCGGAGATGGAGGATTTCTGGAAGTCTCAGCGGCAGCGGCAACAATGGCTTGCCGTTGGACGTAGGAGATAGTAGCTATGGATGCTGCCATAGTCGATGGATCTGATGGAGGATAAGAAGGGGAAGAAGTTCAAATTTGAGAGAAGTGATCGGAAAATAAAGATCTCAACTTTGAGGGAGAGGAGATCTGGATTTCTGGCGGAGGAGATCTGAATGAGAGAGAATTTGAACACATGAGAAATGACACGCTTCCTTCTTTAAATAACATAAACGGTTGGAAACTGAATGTACGTGACAAGGCATGGATTGCGGTCATCCGTCAGATTGATCTAGCAGTTGGCAAAGTCCTCGCGGAAAGAATTGTCTGTGTAGTGGATAAAGGAGTCTATCTGTACTGTACGGGATGTTCCGTTACTTCTTTGTTAGACCTTCGCTCTTTGAGTTATGTAGATGGTAAGGAACAATATGATAACTTGTCACATGTCAACCCAACATTGTGAATTTGTTAATAGTATTGCATGTGATATTCTGCAAAGATACTCATGTCTTTCTAGTGTTGGCAATCAGAAAACAACATTAATCATCAATTAATTTGCCTCCTCGGCTGACACATAACACTCATACTTCTCAGGTTACATGTCATTCATGCACACACAATCGATTAATATTTATTATATTCTAGTAAATGTAGTAAAAATTGTATATAATTTACTTTAAACTATTTAACTCCTCAACAGTAGAACATGTCAGCCAATTGATACCTCTGAACCAAAACAACACTTTCTATTTTACATTAGAAACATAGTGATTAAAGAAGTTTATGATGAGGTTAGGTTCATGTGCTGCATTATTTTTTTGAATGAAGCATGAATTGTTTGCTATTATATACGGTTAGTGTCAAAGAAGATGAAGAAGAATATTAGGAAGTTGATCATACCATTGAAGAAGATGAATGCATTCAACTACGTCATAAAAAATTACACAACAATATTTCAAAGATTTCCCAACCTATTATCTTAACCATTCTCCTGAAGCCCATTTTCACTCATTAAGAACATGTTTATCCCTATGATAGTTGAAACACATGTCTACTCTCTGCCGTTTTCATGTCCCAGACAATTCAGAAATTTGTAAGTTACAGCAACATAGTCTTATCCCTTCACAGAATTGAATTAGGTTAATGATAATATCTTTCAACGTTGCAACATAGCCTTATGCCTTCAGTTCCTATAATTGAAGTAGGCTATTGATAATATCGGTTAAATCTATTGTTTGCAGCTCAAGTCACA